GGTCAGGCAGAGAATTCTGCTATTAATCGCAGATGAAAAATTTGTTCATTTTCCTGGGTAATTCGAACAATTCTTCGTCCGGTGGCACTACAAGCGAGTGAGGTGCTCTTGAGAAATTGATTATTGTAAATACATATGTAAAGGCGAGGTATTATTGCATTAGGTGTTGACCAAGTTTGGCCTCCCACCATGATTAACCATGGCCGTCCGTTGAGATTTTTTCAGCAAGCAGGGGGAGGAGGGCGTATCTAGCGATTCTACAGAGCGAAATCGTATTTGGAGAAAAATAAAGGCCGCATTTTTGGAGAGACACGAAAAAATCAGATCTTGGTAAGTCGGAAAGTGAAGGGAATTTCGAAAAATTTCTGCCTTTCAATAGTAATGTAGCACGTAATAACCCCAGATTAGACACACTTTTGGGTTTCAGGTTTGAAGTGTGCTAACCTCAAAATGATCAGGTCCACCACTATAGACCAAGCAGCAGGGTGAATATTGCTTGAGGATTCCTCAACGGCACGTCGAGGATTTTCGCCTGATCCTTTACGTTCTCGCGCGCGGATATTCACTCTCGCCACCCGCGAGCCGTCTGTGCTCTCCGCGCGTACATTCACTCTCGGCACTACTCTCGCACAGCAGAGAGCGATGGTCGAGGAATTCCTCGACCGTTATTCACCCTGCCAAGCAGTCCCTCCGGAAGTTGTCGCGCCAGGGCCTCTCCAGAGGGGTCGGGATCGATCAATTTCTGAAACCTACCAATGGACAGCTGATCATGCAACCCACCGGGTATCGTCGTCTCTACATTTACGATGAGAATCCTTTAAGCATGGCACATCAAAGAAAAAGATATGAAAGTCCACATCCTTCACCTCGACTGAGAACTGAGCGCAAAATTCATCTACTCATCCGCCTCTTAAACCACTCAACTCCGCGAACAAGACGTTGTATTGAGGTCACACACAACATCCCTTACTTCGGGGATTTACGCTAATGATGGGAGCTTTTCACATATGGACTGATATGCAAAACCTCTGCAATCCCTGCAGCACAATATGCTTCACTCAAAGAATTGAAGCTCAAATTTGTAAAGCCAATCATTGCAATGGTTTGTAAAACGATCTCACGTTTAACAACTTTTCATTTAATAGGCATAACAAGATCTTCTAAAACAATATCACAAAGTATCAATGCTTATCTGTGACTGGTACGCGATGTGATTCAAACTCAGAATCTGACTTTGAATCAAGGTACGAAAGTCGAGAAACTGGTGCTCCACATTCTATATAAGTGCACACACACATAAGTACATCAAATCCATCAAGATAATAAAAAAGTGATTACTGCACATGAGAATATCACGCGAGGTGAAAGCATGAGTTTCTAGTCGTCGCTGCAAATTCCAGAACGTATAAATTTTAAGTTGCAAAAGTGATGTTGAAAAGCAAAATTGAGATGAGAACGTATTCTTACTTAATGCACAAATATATGCTTTACTTATCCAAATATTCTTTCAGTGGCGTTCTATGAATTCTACTGTTTCGTCCTTCGGATGATCAACTGCCCACTTCACATGCAGTTCTGCAGTCTTCCCGTCTTGCAATGCGATAGTCCATTCAAGAATACCATTCTTCATTCGACATCCCTCTTTAGGCAGCTCTGCTGCAGCAGTTAAGTCGCCTGAATCAAGAAGCGAGTTCACTACCGTACTGCTCCATGAACAAGACGAAAGAAAAGAACTGGTTCATACCTTCTCCATTGTTCGTTACTTCTTCCGTTTGGGATACAACCGGAGCAATAAGCCTCACCTAAAAAACAGTGGTTGAGGATAAGGATGTGATTTAAACACAAGTAGAAATTATGAACCAACCTTGATCTTTTCGTCAGTGCTTCTTGGAACTTGTTCTTTGATCGTGAGCAACACAGGCTGCGCACGTGAATTCTTCACAACGATCACCTGCTCGTGAACGTTCGAAGAGCTCTTATTGATGAGACCAACCTAAAGCGAATCGTGTTGCTCGCTAATTGTAGGGAGGTTAAAGAAAGTAAGAACCTGTTCATGGTACTTTTTGACTGGTTTGTACTCAACACGTAAGGCAGTATCGACACCAAGAGAGCAAGAGAACCTCTCGCCTGGAGACACATTCTTCATGTTGGTCTGAAAACCCGTGGTATATTCTTGGAGTTCCTCTCAATCACGTCGCAGTTGTTTTGTGATGAGTAAACATAAGTCCAAGTAGCTGCTAACGTAAATGTGAAAATGTCATACCTTTGCAACGAAACTGTTATTAAGATAAGACAGCCGCATCTCCTGGCAAAAATGGGAGTGCTGAAGAATTCACTGCCGAAGCAGTCAAGAAAGTGCTTGTGTTTTTACATGGAACACACTCATGGATCATCTGGGGAGTGACGTCGACCACGCCGATTGTCACCTAAATCCCATAGTAGGGATAAAGACAAGAGCTTGATACCCGAAACTTCGTACCTTATGTTCAGCCCCGTCCGATGGAACAGCCGCTGGTTTGGTGATCATAAACTTGGTGCTCAAAGCATGTTGAGCAGGTTCCACAACACAAGCCATCTACAGCGAGTACAATGGCCAATTACAAAAAGTGGGAACAACCTAAGAAGCGCACAACTTACCTCTGTATGCACTGGAGCTGCGTCTAGGAGAAGTTCTTCCTCCTTTTCGAGTGCGGAACAAACTTGTGCTAGGAGAAGTTGCTTCTTCTTCTTCTTCGAGTAGGGAACAAGCTTGTGCTTCTGTATCCATCCTACGAGAACATT